AGGCGGAGCTCCTTTGAAGGGGAAGATAAGGAATTCAGTTTTAAACATGTTCTCTTTGGGATGAAGCAGAACATACAGGTGTACGTGTCTAGTGGTTAGTTGGAAAATATTGAACAAGGTCTTAAAAAAAGAAGTTGGTCTGATATGCATTTGGAATCATTCATGTAGAAACGAGTGTGGTAGACTTAGGAGCAGATGGGATTTTTAATGGGAAGAGTTTAGAGGGAGGGGAGCAGAGGAGTGAATGCTGAACCTTTAAATGTGTACAATCCATATCCATTTTATTGCCTTTATAACCCTTACCAGTGTCTGAAATTGCATTGTTCACTATGTGCTTACTTGTATATGATCTGTTTCATTTTCTCTAGAATAAAAGCTCCATGTTAGCACAGACTTGGCCCATATTGTACACCACTGCATCTCCAGCCCATGGCAGGTAATGAAAAAGTTCTACTGAATGGATGAATGAGTGACTGAATGAAGAAATAATGTTTTTGTAAATATTACGATCTTTGAATAGTCTCAGCGTTACTCTAGATAATTCCCCTAGTCAAGGAAAAAGCTTTCATCAGACAACACATTTCAGAGAAATATATACTTTACTTTTTAGCTTTTTTCTACAGATTGCATTCTGACCTTGTATTTTGGTGTGTGACTTTTCCAATGTGACTGGAGTCATCTTGGTTTTGAGAGATTTCTTTTCACTTTTGTTTTCTTCCTTTGAGGAAAAAAAAATAGAGATTTTGTGTGATGTATTTACATAAAAATGAAGTTGAATGTAAAATGTAACACTTTTTCCCACTCAATTATAAGTCCTCTCATTAATATTGACCATTTGTTTATGACATACTAAAAATGATGATTCTCATACTTAAATAGACATTCTTGGCCTACTAGTAAATAATCAGCCTCAACCTTCACAGCTTTTTGGCCACAGGAACCTTCTGTTTTTGTTGGTGTGGATGCCACATCTCCCTTGCTCATGTTCCTCTGAATTCTAGGGAGGCCTAGAGTTGGTCCCAGTCTAGGTCTTTAGGGGTAGAACTTAAAATGGTGGAAAGAAGTCAGTTTAGTTCCTTTAGACATAGATCTCTGTCTTCTGTCCATGATTTCATTTGCTTCTACCTCATCATTTGTATGATCATCTCAGCTTTCCTTTGAAACAGCTATGCCACACTGGAATGGCCATTGCGTGTCTGATGATGTTCCCACAGGGGAAGAGTGAAACAAGATATAAGGTAAGAACACAGAAAGATCGACTCCCAAGCTATGCACAGTCTAGGAGGGGGAACAAACACACAAAAATGTAAGTGCAAAAAAATGTAGGTGATGCAACAATGTTTGTAGAAGATAGAGAAGGGGTGTAGACATGGAGTGGTCGGTTCTCCTGGAGTAGAAGGGAAAGGAAGGAAACTATTAAAAAGGAAGTGATTCTATTTTACAAAGATGTGATTTGGTTTTCCAGATGGACAAGACTTGGAAACCATTCCAGGTATATTGTACAGGAATATTGTACAGGTTTAGCAAGAGCCAGAGGTGTGATTGTGTATAGGTGGAGGGAGACTACAGTAGAAGTGGTTGGATGAGATAGTGTGAGGCAAGATGTAGGCAGGTACAAGAAGGACATTGAGAGTATTGTGTGCCGTGATATGGAGTTTTGACATTATTTATATGCACTGTATGTCATAGAAGCATTTTAAACTGAAAAGCAAATTAAGTGGATGATTTCATTTAAGCCTCACAGATACCACATGTGTTAGGCAAGGCAGCTATTATTGTTATTACGCTATTCAATAGGAAATTGATTAAGTGGCTAGTTCATATGAACATTTAAAGTTACGGATCCAGGACTATTTATAAATAGTGATAAAGCCTTCTGACTTCAGTTGAGTACTTTTGCATCACGCTTGATGTCATTTGTAAACATTTCCGTCATAGTCTTTATGTGTATACACATGTAGATTTATGTGAATAGTGTCTTATTCTGGAGTAAGAGAGAGAGAGTTTGGATCAGGCTGAGTTTGCAGTTCTTGCGCTATTGTTTATTGATAAGTAGAAATAACCTATGACATTTTAGTTTGTGAATGAACTCTTTGAATGACACTTTAAAAAACACAATATAAATTTATTTATTCCTCTTTATTTTCTTATGACTCAAATCATTTATTTGTACTTCAGAGGCTTATTATTTAAATGCCATTTTAAAAGGTTATATTCTGTGGAAGAAAATAGGATTTTAACTTTCTGTCATATTTAACATTTAGCATATTTCAAACTGGAGAAAAAATATTTTTCCTATAGCTACAAGCTCTTGGAAAGAACAGATGCAAATAATTCCCCAAAAAGGACTTTTAAGATATTAATATAATTTGATGCCAGTAGACTTCATGATTAACACCTGCAAATTATGGCTGTGGGAATGGCATGGGGTATACCTAAGGGTTGCTCTACCTGTGCCTGGTTTAAGTACTTCTCCAGTAATCCTGTTTCTGAAGGAAAGACAACTCTTTAAGGAGTTTCTGCTCTTTTTTGTGTCTTTTCTCCAACATCCCTTTATCCTGTGGGCAGAGTATCTGAAAAGGTTGATTCAACTAACATTCCTCCTGTTCTGGAGCAGTATAGCCTAGTGATTTAGCTCTCAGGTGCTGAAGGCAGAAAAACAGGGTTCCAGTTCAGGTTTTGCCACTTGCTAGCTGTGTATAAGCAGCAAATTATAATAGGACCCATGCTGTTGTGAGTTTCAAACACAATAGTGCCTGGAAAGGGCTTAGCACATTGCTCAACGCAGAGTTATTGCTGTCAGGCAATAACAGGCAAGAGTTAAATGTGAATGTAGTGACTTTCCTGAAGCAAAATGCTACATGCTAGGTGAAGTACCCAGCTACTCAGTATTTGTGACATTCCATACATTCTTAAACATATAAATAACTTTTAAAGTGTGGGGTTATTTATTTTGACATAAGAATTAGAAAGAAGTCCAGGGCACTCTCATGAAGCAAGGCTAAGCACAAACCTCTACATCTCCTCTCTACTACAAAGACATTCAATGTTAATCAGAAAAGGAAGGTGGGTTTTCCATGGCTAATGTTAAGTAATCTCGGTGTTGTCTATCCTCTAGGCTCATTTGAACCTGAGTCAGACCATGCTATCCTAGTCCCTGAGGCACACTCCTGCTTGTACTTGACGTCTCTCATCTGGCTCTTTCAGATGGGAAAATAACTATTGCTCTAAAAATCTTTTGTAGCTCTTTTAGGTAATTCTAGTGAGTAATTCATGGAAATTATTCTCTAGATAGTTGTAAGTAAATATGGCTTTTATAATTATCACTTTGGACTTAAACCTGTCACAAAAACACAAATAATTAATAATGATAATAATTGACACTTGGAAAGTACCTACTACGTGTTTCTAAACACTGTCTCTAGTTCTCATAACAAAGCTACAAAGCAGATATTATTATCTATATTTTACAGATGAATAGACTTAGAACTTGTGAAAAGATTCGTCTAAAGTGGGTTTTCTCCACCTTGGCAGTCCTGTACATGCAAGGATATTTAGCAGCATTAGTAGATTTTACTCACTAGATGCTAGTAACATCCCCATCCACAAATTGTGACAACCAAAAATGTCCCCAGATAATGCCAAATATCCCTAGTGGTAAAATTACTCCCTATCGAGTACCAATAGGCTCCCTATTGGTTTAGAGAATTTATTGTTAAAATGTGGTTTACTGAGAACAGGATGCTTGACATTCTTTGTTGAAACTGAATCATATAGTCAATTTACATCTGAGAAATGATTTCATTTTGGATGATTGTAGAAGTGAAAATCAGCAACAAGAAGTCTTACTTGGCTTTTCAAAATTCTAATATAGTCTCCTAAACATTGATTGTTCTGTTTTTAAACAAAAGCCTACAGAATATATAATTTAATGGGGAGAAACCCCAAACAGTACATAACCCGGATGGTACCAAGTAAAACTGCTAAGCGATCTTATATATCACAGCGTTTATTAACTTCTATTACCACACAAGAAACAATGAGAATCAAGACTTATTTAGGAATGTAAAGAACATACCTGCTTTGTGGATGGCTGAGACTGATTGCTCGGATGAGAACCTTGTTCATTACCATCGTTCTTTCCTATAGGCATCACCTTGTTGAATTTTATTGTCAGTGATTTAAACATCTTCTTAGAGGTGGTTTTAAAAAGCTCTGTTTTTTATGACTCTGTGTCCTGAGGTAGAGAAATGTACTTTGTTTTTCTTTTCATTAGTAGACAAGCCAATTAGTTGTTTAATCAGGATTTTGTTCTGGTTAATTCCTACAGGCAACTCCCTAGCTAGTCAGGACTTTGGCTTAAAAGCAGAAAATCACTTCTGCTTGGGTGATTTGCACTCTGTTTATGAACTTTAGAGAGTCAAAATGCCCTCGTGAATAATTTAAGTGTAGAAGATTGAACAACACTTCATAGTTGATTTGAATTGTTTTAATGTGATCACATTGCCCATTGGTTTATTTGTTTTCTTTCTTTCTAATTACCCACCTACCTATATTTATCTAACTAATTTTAAGCAAAGTAATACATGTAAATGATTAAAAAATAAAACATACTGAAGGCTTGTACCATGAGGTCACTATTTTTAAGCGTCCTTTTTTTGTTCTTCTGGTGGTTGTTTTCTGTATCACTAAAAACGTTGCTTATTCTACTTTGTGTGTGTGTGTGTGTGTGTGTGTGTGTGTGTGTGTAAATTTAGACCCCAAACCTGTGTGAAGCATAGGTACAAAATTAAGAATTGTTAAAGAGAACTTTTTTCCTTCACCTACAAGCAAGCAAGACAAACTTCCTTAATGTTCCTCTGTGCTGTCAGATGGGAATTTTAGTCCATCAAGTATGCACTTTTTTTTTTTAAGGGGCCCTGGTTTTGTTTTGTTTTTAATGGGAGCACTTCTCTTGTGTAGGTTCAAATTAAAAGCAAAGCCTTTAAGCAACAAGGCCACCCTCCACATTCCCTGTACCCAGGGCAGCCTGAGTCAACTCATCCAATACATTTTGCCCTCTGTATTTCCATAATTGGGGGATTTCCTTGAGATACTAGTTATGCATTTTAAAGTATATTTGTTATACTTAATACAGAAAAATATTTTAATGTAAGTACATATGAAGGAAGAATTGTAATTTAGTTTTTCATATTATCAAAATCACAATTCCCTTATTGATTTTTAAAATAA